CACTTCTCCGAATCCACCCAAATCCCGGTCGCTCCCGGGTTCCATCCTGGCATTAGGGACGGTTTCCTTTCTTATTCTGGTCTGCAGAAAGTCGTTGGGACCAAGACGAAATCGAAGATAATCTCATAAAGTCTATGACATCCTAATCGAGTGCTGATGATAACTGGGCTTAGCTGAATACATACTTATCATGATCGGCCAAAAAGAGCCCGAGAAGCGATATTATTCGTATAACGGTTTTTGATTGTCATCTGGAGCCCATTGCGGAGTTACTTTCTGGGGCAGTTCAGATTACTCTTTCAAGCCATTAAACCGTAAACACCAGAGAAATTGAACCTTGACCCCTCCGCCACTAAACTAAGTCTGAACCACCGAACCGAGCTCTCTGACAGACGGAACGGCTACGATGACATGCAGCTGGAGGGGGATAGTTATGGAGTATCTCCGTTAAGTTACATACAACGCTAACTCAGTCCAGTAGTAGTCCTATAGCCAGTGTGGTGGCAGTATTTTCGTTCGTAGTCATCTGGAGTATCTGTAGAGTGTAGCCGCCTGTCCAGTGGCTTATGTTTTTCTCTGTAGGGAACTACTTACATATTATTTACTGACAAAGAGGGGAAAAGAGGGTCGGTCTTATCCTATGGCATTTCCCCTCTTGTCACGCCCAGTTTGCCTTTTTGGCGCAGACAAACCGATTAGTCTCGCCAGCTTGCTATTTCCAGCGAATTGCAGCGACTAGTTTCATTGCCCTTCCATCCTGACATGGTTTACTATGTGTTTCCCTACTAATCTAACTCTACTAACGGCTGCGAAGTACCTTTGTATCCTTGCTATTGCTTCAATGGTGTTAGTTCTTCTTCTCTGCTAGGATCAGAAGCTACTAACCTGATATGATTTCTAGTTCGTTCGTTTTCCCTGTCCCTGCCACTTCCTTTTCAGGACGGAGCGGCTGGGCTCAGGAACAACCCACTTTTTGAACTGACGACGAACTTGAGTAACTCAATGCGTCGTAACTTAACTTAACTAACTAAATTTCTGACTAAGTACTGACTAGCGAGCTTCCTCCTGTCTTAATAAGTCAAGTCGTGCTTTTCGCGCGCTCTTCAAAGTTCAAACCAGATCGGCCGTGGGGCTCATTACAGAGAGTGGATCGAGGACAATGCAGAATCTCCTTGACAAACGAAGTACTCTGTAGAACTGTACTACTTACTAGTAAACTCCTTATAGAAGATTGTTCAACAACAGTTAAAAACTGCAATTGCCCCCTCCTCCTCTTCCTCTTCTCGGCCACTTGCTTCATGTACTGTATCTCGCATCCAAACTCCACTTCATCATCCCCGGCCGACACGGTCAACCAAATGGATTACATACCGTTCCGAAGCTCCTACATTAACCCCAAAAAAGCAAAAACCCACAGTTTCAAATCGACGGGATCTTCCTCGGGCGGACGTAGCGCGAGATCTGGTGGCAACGGCCAACCTCCACCCTGCCCATAGCTGCAGGGGCCACATATCCCCATTCCCCATCCGCACGCGCGCGCATTGTCCCGTCGACCGTCGACGGAGAATAGAGGATGGAGACCGAGAACGGAGTACGGATGTACGAAGTACTGTATGTACAGATGCAGATTTTTTGTCAGATCATATCCGTTCTCCGGAGGCTCAGGAGGGTCTCCGTGCCAGGGGCTTGACATCGATTGGATGGGAGAAATATCCCAATCTTATTCTTCCCCCAGCCTTTTCCTCCGCCCTCTTGACTAGGCTTTGATTAACGCTAGGAAGAATCAATTAGAAAAGAAGACAAGGGGCCGATCAAATTGCGCAGAAACTGAACAGGGGGCACCACGAGTTAACACTAACACTAACACTTAGTACTAACCCATGAACATCCCTTCCCACAACCCGCGCTAAGCTAGGTGCATCAAACTACTAACGCTCAAGTTCAGTTCTCAGTAACAAAATCCCTCCCCTGGTCCTGCCGGACCTACTCGGTTGTCACTATTTCTTAGCTGCAGCGAGGCTGCCTACGATGGCGGCTTCTGCTGCAACCATCAAAGGATAGTGTCGGGTTAATCACCAGCTTGGTTTCCCCACTGGTTGGTCCGGCCTAGTCTCGTCTTTTTTTCTGTGTGCTACATACTATCCTTGACGCCGTAGTTCTTGGGGCTTAGTCGTTCCGTCCGGTAACCCCGAAAACATCAAAGTTCGTATATCTGTTCAGTATTCCGTACATTTGAACAGATGTACCGGATCTGAATTTAAAAGTCATTTCGATTTTATCCGTAGAAGGAAAGAGGCTGGGATGTTTGATTTTTTTTTTGGTCCCTAGATCGGTACTTTTGTGATTCTGCCAACGCATGAAATGATGTTGACTGTCGTTGATTTGAGCGGGTTGCCTTGGACCTCGGAGATGGTTATCTTCACAGGGACGCGTACAACGGAGGTGACACACTGGGGCAAGATGGTGCAATCAGGGAACCGGTCGGAGAAAGAGAAAGCTAGCATGGAACTCAAAATAGAACATTGATAGTTGTCGTTCTAAACTTCTATCTGATCTAATGCAATTCAATCCAATTCGTTATACGCTATACATCACTCAATTCACTGACAGGCGATACTTGAGTTTCTTCACTGTAATTTTACATTCTTTACCTTCTGCAACCGTTGTAATCTTGAGAAGAATATTCCATACAGTACTTAAACTTTGAATCCTGCTGGAATACCTGAAACCACCTACTAATTAATTCATGGTTAACATGGCGTTCAACTGCGCCATCGCCATCAAAATCCATCGTTCTAGCCAGAACGCCCTCGAATATTCAATCGATCGCATCTAGACCAGATATACGTGAGACAACTATATCCTTCCTTACCCATAGTATGTGATCATAATAATAGCCCTTCACAGTTCCAGTCCAATGCTCCCCGAACCGCTCGGATGATCGCGCATCTTTTACAGCCCACCCTGCTTTTCGTCAGTGCGTATGACATGCATCTTGATTCGTGGTCATTGCGCTTACCACGAAACAAGAATCTCGTTCCAGAGAAATACTTTCTTGGGCGCTGATTATTTACTGAATGGGGTGTTTTCTTCTAATTCTCCTATCAATAATATTTCTCACTCTTGCGGCCGCACCAGAACAGATCTAGAAAAGGGAGAAGGAGAGGAGGGAAAGAGCAAAAAGGGAAAAAAGGAAGGAGGGCTCAGGCCCTTCATTGCTGTGTTCGACCACGAGCAGGAAGCTGTCTTGCTTAGCTCCATCCACTACCCCGGGTCTTGGCTGAGTGTGTATGTACTTGTCCTGGTCCTGGTCCTGGTCCGAGCTGAAGCTGGAAGCTGAAGCTGAAGCTGACTCGGAATAGATAGCACCGGTTGTCTGTTCGCGGCTTCGCTACCATAGAATAAACACACTTTTTCATTTGATGATGTATGATTTCTCGTAAAATGTAGATTTAGCGCTACAAGGCTGCAAGGCCCTATCGCGAAGGATTTCAGGGTCTCGTTCTTCTCTGTATTTAGTCTCTGTAAGGTTCGGTACTGATCCTAGTTCGAGAGTCTTAGGCCTCCCGAACGGCCCATAGCGTCTGGGATATAAGTAACCAAGTTCTCTCTTTCTCTCCTCCCGTGCCTGTCTGTACCTGTTGTACCTTGTACCTGTAATCCGTCCCTCAGCCCCGTCGATCACTCCTAGTTTCCCGCAGCACGAGTGAACGCATAGGTTGACTAGTTACTTCTTTTGTAACCGCCGATCAATCGCACGGGCAAAAAAAGATATGCCGTGACGTCAAACATGATAATGATAAGTCTATGGCTCGTGCCTCTCGTCCCGTTCATGCACCTCCACAGACGGGGTATACCGGGGGAAGGGGGGCCTAGGGCCTGGCCCTTTGCCGCGGGATTTCGAGGGGGCGTAGAACCCCCATGTCAATCCCACTGACAGGGCTAATCATACCTAATCATTATTATTAAACACCCCTGGTCATTGCGGACATTCGGCTTGCCTCCTCGGCGCAGACGGCGATACAACCGTGGTGCAGCCCGGATGCAGGAGGTGCTTCCCCCCGAGCCACTAATGCGCGCGAGGACCAGGAAGACGGAGGTGGAAGGAGTGGGATGGGCGGTTTGCCTTTCTAGAACGACGTGCAGGAGGGAGATTGTGGGTTTAGTGGCATGCCTGTTGGGTATAGTGTGTATGCATGCGGATGTTTCTAGATATATGTGCACATGCATATGTACGATGGGGATTTAGGGGAATGAAGGGTGTATGTAGGTGCATCCGGGATAGAGTCATCATGCGTTGCTTCCTAGGAAAAGCAGGATTAGGGTTTTCGGTTTAAGACATGGTATGAGAAGACTAGATTACTCGAGGCCTTGGCTAGGCTGTTGATATAGACGTGGGTAGGTATGTATGACAGTATGTTGTAGTAGAGTCGAGGTCTGTGTTTCCATATGCCGGAGTAATATAGGACATACGCGCGTATCTCGGGTCCCTGATTTAGTTTTATTTCGTGATATATAGCCCAAAATGGATATGGACGGTTGCCTATATTTCATGGTACTAAGTCTGTAGTTCCTCGTGTAAGGTGACTGCATAGCTGACAGTGTATAATATAGATAATGAGGCTCAGAAGTGGAAAGAAGCCACATGGACTGACTTGAGGAATGATTCCATTTCTCAATTTTTGTCGTGGTTGTCTTGTTCATTTATTGATTTTCTCTTTTGATATTAGCTAGCCCCGTTCCTGACAAGCCCAACGAAGAACTAGCATGAACCACTCCAAGTTGACCTGTCACTTGAACCCAATTTCAGCCTCAGCCCTACGGGAAATCAGGATATAAAAATAGGATGTTCTAGAAGATCCCTTCACAATCCTTAATAGACAAGTTAATTCAGAATCAGCAAATCAGCAAATCAGCAAATCAATTCTCATTTCCAAACAAAGTCAGCGAAACGCTCAACGCTAAGAAATAACCGCAATATCCCATCCACCATCTCACCTCTATTCAGTAGGCTGCCATCGCCAACCCGCCGGATCAAAGCAAACCTCAAAGTCCACGCCCCCAAACAATCCCACAGCCCCATACAGATCAAAATCCCCCTCTAACCCCTCCACACCCCCAGCCTCCTCATCCACCTCCTCATGCAGGTCCCACCCACCCGCGGCATGCCCATCGCGAGTGAAAAACACCTCAGCCTTGCAGACCCGCTTAGTCCCAAACATGGCATCCGCCATGGCAAGCGGATTATCCGGCAGGGCGAACTTCATCCCAATGCCCAGCGTCTCGCCAACCTTAAACGGCTGGGTAAAGTCACGCCCGCCCCACGAGTCATTCACGAAGCGACACCCGTCGTCGGAAAACACACCCAGACTTCCTCGCTCCCAACCTGGTGAGCGCCAGGATGGAAATGGCTGCGCGGCAAAGCCTAGAGAGAGTCCGCTGGCATCACCCCCAGGGCCTGCGCGGAGTGCGAGCAGTTTGACCTCGAAGTAGATCGTCTTGTGCTTCTCGGTGACAAAAGGGGAGTCTTGGGCGGCAAAGTATAGTGGGAGATGGGTCAGTACGCAGCAGTCCCCGTTGCGATCAACTGTGCGGCCAAACCAGCGGCCTGGTGCAGTCGGAGACAGTTCCCCGGCGAACTCTCGTTGTTGGACGGGTCGTAGATCGTGGTTGACCACGCACGAGTAGACCGCAGCAGAGGGCACCACGGGCAGCCACAGCGGCGTGGAGTCGCAAAAGTCATGAGCTCGCTGAGCATCGTCAGCAGAGGCATTTCCTGTGCCAGAGCTGTAGTGACCTGAGATAGGTGGTGGTGGGAAGACTGAAGTATCTGGCACGGCTTCTTGCCAGTTATGGTAGGGTGGAGGATCTCCTGGTGGATATTGTGGTGGTTGAAACGGATTTTGCTGGGTGTTATTCTGATATTGCTGGTTGTTGTGGCCGTAGGAGCTGGTAGGGAACCCAGCTGATGATGATGATGCAGCTTGCTGCGAATCATCGTAGCTTGGCGGGGCGCTGGACATGTTATTTGCTGGTATGTGTGCCATATTGCAGATCAGTTCTTGAGGAGTGTGTTCACTTTGAAGCTTGTTCTGATCCTGATTCTGATCGATGTTGATGGGGAATTGTAACTTGGGGTAAACTTGTCATCTTGTCCTGCCAAGCGGGGCTGTGCGGGTGAGAGAATGAGAGGGAACCGTGGAATACACCGGATGATTTGAGTTGCCAGCCGCAAGAGGACTTAACTCTCGTAAATTGTCATCGAATGTCTAGATTGAAAGTCGGTCGGAAGGTTTGGTGATCGGACGGCTCTTTCTTGGTTGAGGCTGGACTCTGGCGTTGTGGTGCGATACTTTTGGTCAATTTAATATTCAGCCAGTCGAGGCTGAGGCTGGTGGGCTGCAGGGGGGCTGACATCCCTGAGTAGGTGATGTTCATACATACCTTGAAGGCTGATCTTCATACTCATATTCTTTGTAACGAAGAAGATAGATATAACGACTTCCACCTTAAGATCTGCAAAATTGGAGCAGTCACAACGACCAGTCCAAGGGAACGAGGCTAAGAATAGTTGTTGGGCTGCAGGTCTCACATTTTGGCCCAGTGAGCACTGCAGTTCAACCAGTCGAGCCACTCCAGTTACTTTCTCTGTGGCGAGTTTGAAACCTTTCCTTCTTCTTCAATCCTGAACTGTCGTCGTGCAATTGTCCATCTTTGTGCGAGCCCCTGCCGGGCCTCTGTCGTTAGGCTCCGCTGGGGTTCTTTCGACTGGCCTTTTGGTTTTCCTTTTTTCTTTGACTTCATCCACCACCATCTTCATCCTCGATCTTGCTCGCTGCGGTCGCCCGTAAATCCCCCTTTCAATGCTTGCCGCTCTCCCCGCGATCATCGATTGTCGGGTGTGTTCTGCATCGAATGCAAGATGACAGACGATCAGATTGAGCCCCGCAGGCGACGGCGATCCTCTATCTCCGAGCGCATCCAACGTGCCTTCCATGTAGATCGCTCAGACAAGGTACGCCACACCTTCATTTTTGACTGGGCTCTCGGGCTCACAGGATTGCAGAAACGGCAGAGTTTCTCTCCAGGAGATGATCAGAAGGGGTTTCATCTTGCCCAGTCAGCGCAATCTCCAGCCCAAGTCCAATCTGGAGATGGCGCACGCATTCACCTGGCAGAGGCAGCGGCCGGTCACCGCACTCCAACCGGCTATTCTCTACAAGATGAGACCCTGCCTAGCACACTTACATACTCATCACAAGACTCTCGTCTGCCATCGACATATACACCTGGCTCAAGCCCCTCGGTTCGACCAGCGTATATGTCCACGCCTGACCCAAAGAAGTCCAAAGACAAGGATGAGATATGTTCCTCGCCTACCTGGAAGGAAACTGCTCGCAAAGAACGGCGCGCGACCAAGCGACTAGAAGCAGAGAGAAAAGAGCTCGAGAAACGCCTCATGCAACTGGAAGAGTCGCAGGCTAGACTGGAAAACGGCATCTATGACAGGCAATCCCGACGCCTGACCAAGAAACAACCACTGGACAACGGCAAAAGATCTTCCAGCGCTAATTCCGAGAGACCGCGATCTTCCAGGTCATTATCAGCGTTCTTTTCATCATCACGCCGGTCCTCCCGATCCCGAGATAGCTCTACAAATGCAAACGACCGACGTCGATCTTCTGATCATGAGAACCCGGGAGGGGGACCACCAACCTTACCTCTTTCATTACCTGAGCGCTTTGGGACTGCGGTATCTCGAGAATTGGCATCTAAGCATGGGACTTCGCTAATGCCAAATCATCAGCTCCAACACTCGTCCCATCTCCTCCATCACACTGCCGCGAAGTCGGACGATCTTCGGGAGAATTGGAATATGGCGGAGGCCTGGCAAAAGCAGAATCGTGAGCGTGAGATTAATGATTCGCTAGCCGGTTTGAAGACGGAGATGGGTGTGAATAATGGTTCTGGGGCTGGTGCCCAGTCGGCATTGAAGAAGAGGGAGGACCTGCTTGCGTACCCTTCACTTACCAATCCCCGTATTGACCTCGACCGTGAGCTGTTCACAGCGAATCTCAGACAGGAACGGAAGCCCTCGGAAACTCAAAAGCCTGCAGCTTCTTCTACTTTACGACAGGGAGGCCCCTCGCCTGGTCAGAATCATACTCAGTCTGCTGAGTCTCCAACAACCCGAGTGGCCACGGCTCGTCAACTCCATAACGTTGCATCCGGGGAGGATCAACGTCCATCACCCGTGAAATATCCCCCTGCTAGTTTCAAGGAAATGAGAAACGGCAAGCCCGGCCTGACGAAATATGTAGCCGAACCCAGTCCAAATGCGCATCAAAAGGAGTACAAATCCTCTCCTCTAGCCCTGAACCCTGTCACGACCGATGACATTACCCAGAAAAAGGAGAACAAAAAGCCTTCCCAGTCTGCAGCAGCGGAGCAGAATTCCCGTGGACTCGTGCCTCAACCTCTACGGATCAACTTTGAATTTTCTCGTGGACGGGGTCGACAGGTTTCATATCCCTTAACCTCGGAGATCCCTCAAGGTCGAGCGAAGCAGAACACTCGTCAAGACCGGGCGTCACTCATGGGCCCAGTAGAGATGTCTGCTGGGAATATCAAGCGAAGGTGGAACCCCAAACCTATTGCGTTTGATAAACCGAAACCCACGGCATGGGAACTCAGACCACCGCCAGCTATCATCCCTCCATTAAAGCATCCAGGCCGGAAATATGCTCTCGAAGAGAACTCTCCTTATGGTCGACTCAGCTATGATGGTCAACAGATTCCGACTATCATCACCACAGAGGCAGTACCAGTGACCCGTTCACAAGAATCCGTACCCCAAGTTCGCCATTCCTTGGCTGAGATGCCCGCCAGCAAGTCCACTCCAAACGTGCTAGCTGTCCGTGGACACAGTCGCTCATCGTCCGGGGCGTCCAGCTATGATACCGCCGACGAAGAAGTCCTCGACACACCAAATCACCACCCAGAACGAAGGAACAATACATCTACCTCAGAAACTCATGAAACCAACCCCTCCAACACTCTTACCACAACCCCCCAAGACAACCCCACGACAAAGGAAATCCAAATCCCCACAAACCCCAGTCCCAGGGGTAACAATAACCCACCCCTCGCACCAGACGGCATAATCTCAAAGATACGCCACAACCAAATCCAAAAACCCCCACCCAAACAACTCAAAAAAGACCACCTTGTCGCCAAATTATTCGTCATTTGCTGTCACTGCCAATACTGGCACGACCTTCCATCCGAACTCTACGCAAAACTAGCCTGTCCCGAACGCATCCCCTCCGAATCCCGGCTAGCACGCAAGTTCTCGAGACATAATACGCCCGGACGGCGGAGTTCGTTTAAAAGGGCTGTTTTTGGGGGGATTTCTGTAGATGCGGCTGCGAGGCGGGTGGCGGGTGGGAAACTGGGTTTGAACGCGAATGAAATGCAGTTGGTTAGCGGTGGTGCTGCTGGGGCTGGGGCTGGTGCTGACGCTGGCCTGGCTGAGATTGATAGTACTGCGGCTCAGTCGGTACCGTTATCTTGTTGTTGGTGTGGACATGAGATGAATCGATCTTGTTGTCAGGGGTGGACGACTCTTGTGCAGATGCGTGAGAGACATCATTAGGAGAGGAGGATGTGTTGATTGCGTGACGAATATTATGACTTTGATGATGGGTGATGGGCGTGGTTTATTATTAGTGGACCGAACTACACTACACCGGACTTTGATGAGATGTGATGTGCTTTAATTTGGGTTTGATATTATGGGATTTTTTAGTGCCGGTCTTGTACGATTCTACACCGATTTCGTTTCTCGGGAGGACATGGTGCAGGGGAAAAGTCTTTCATGATTCATGGCTCATATCTTGTATTACAATCTTACATCTTTTATCCTTTCCACATAATAGGCATGAGCTAGAGCTCGTTGTTCTGTATCGACACTGTAGTGTTGATTTAGCTACTCGGTATCAAAATTTGATTTTTATCCCGGACTTGCGAAGGATGCAGAGTCTGATGAGAGTGTCAAATACTTTCCTTTCAAGTCTCTCACACCCTTGCAGGATCAATTGGTATTGTACCGCCTTATATGATAGGTTCTCATATAGAAGGTGATCATCAAACGTGGAGTCTTTTCCCACATTGACATCATGCTTCAACCGGTTGAGGTTAAATGTAAATGTTTGCAGATTACGTCAAAAGTCACATTAATCTATAGATCTAGAGATCCACATCATGCGGGGAAGACTTGAGGAAATACCAGCATGTCAAAACAAGTACGCAATAGATAGTGCAAATCTAGTCGCAGATTCTACTCTCCTACACACATCGTACAAGACAAAACAACCAAAGCTCAAGCTGGAACTCAAACAAAGATGCACACCCCCTGCCGAGAGATAATAAAATAAAGAGGGTTCGAGGTATGTAGTTTCCAAAATCATCAATCCAAGCGGTCATAAGACACCAGAAGAAGGTTAAAAGTTAAGAAGAAATTAGACAAACAATCAAATACTCTTGGATGACGTGAACGGGGGGCCAGTAAGGAAGGTAAGAAGAAGAAAAAGAATTGATTCAAGGGTATAGGCATCAAAAAGTCGGGAAAATCATCACAATAACCGTGATCGTTGAGAAGGTAAAAAGAAAAAAAAGGTGTATCGGAAGAATATGTATCAAGAATGAAAAAGAAGAAAAAAAATGTAGGGGGTATTCAACCGAAGAAGTTCCAAAGAGACATGGGAGAGAATTGGAAGTGAAATACCCATCAGTCAAGACGGGTGCTTCTGTTTGTTTTAGCGCCAGCGGGTAGGCTGCGCTGCGGATCATCAAGATCCGAATTCGGGGGCGTAGCATCGGCTCGCGCTGAGCCCGGAATCTCTTTCTGCTCAATCGCTTTAAACCAGGAGCATACCGGCGACGGCAACGACACCAGCAGCCATGGCACCAGAAACCTGGCGGATGGAGGCGCCGTTCGCGTGCGCAGAAGCAGAGGCGGAGGTAGAGGCGGGCTCGGGAGCAGCAGTCGCGGTGTTAACCTCGACAACGGTGGAGGTGCTCTTGATCAGGGGAGTAGAGCTGGACACACGGCTGAAGGAGGAGCTGGAGGAGACCGGGGTGCTGGTAGGAGTAGGAGTCGAGGTGGGGGTCGGGGTGGAAGTAGGAGTGGGAGTCGCGGTCGACGCGGGAGGAGTGTAACCAGATGGCACCAGGGTGATGGTGCTGGTCACACAGGGCGACGTGGCAGAGGGAGCAGCAACGCGCTCAGCGGCCAAGGCCATGGGCGCGAGGGCCGAGGCGAGGAGGAGGATGGACTTGAAGAACTGCATTGTGGTGGAATGTGTCGTGTTGTTGATGTTGATATTGATGTGGATGATTGTTTATTGATCCGATTGAGGTTGTAAAGAGTGAATGGAGCTGGTAGAAACGAATGCGACAGCCCGTGTCAGGGAGTGTGGAGATTTGGATCAAACGAATGACACTGCTTTCGAGGAAGACAGGAGGATTTAATACAAGAAGAAGAAGAGGGAAAGGGAAGGGACAAAAGGAGAAGAAATGGGAAATGAGCAGCCCCATTCTAGAGGGGGCCACTTAGCCTATTTGGGCTTAGTGGGGGCTGTTGCAGACGTAACCCGCCCGACCAGCGGAATGTGAAATTAATTGTGTTTATTATGTGTTGGTCTGGTGGAGTTCATTTCCGATTCTGATTGCCCTTGCAAAAAGAGTGTCATGGATTTTCATTGACTTCAAGCAAAGCCATATGTCTGGATTAATATACAGTAATTCGTGGGGGTAAAAGGGGGGGTATCAAGAGCATCCCAGGGGAAAGATATACAAAACAGCCACGCAGCAACCAAAATAGCCACCCCAAACGCTCGTCAGAGAAAGTCAAGCTTGGCACACGGCTCGCTCTTTGCAGCCAACACCAAGATCGGAGTAAGATCCCAATAGAGGGTCGATCCCCAAAGAATATCCGGCCAAAGGTAAAAAGGAAAGGCGAACCTATAACAGTAAAAAAAAAGCAACACTTGCCAGGTCATAAAAGGATAAAATCATACAATCCTGTCGTCCATCGTCCATCGTCCGTCATCCATCATCGGTCGTCCCATCTCAAAGCTAGAAGTCGGTCATCTAGACAGACCATACGGTCGCAACAACCACAGCCACCATGACCCAGTACCCGCTGGCATTGATCAGAGTCACCAGAGGTCCCTGAGCGGCCCCCGACGTGGAGGAGGAGGTGGTGGTGGAGTCCGAACTCGAAGTGCCATCATCAGCGGTCGTGCCGTTAGCCAAGGTTCCGTTGATAACAATCGTCTTGGTGCCGTTGACGTTGACTACGCGAGCAATGGACGTATTCCGTGGCTGAGTGCCGTTGAAGAGAGACTCGTAGTAGGTGCTGTTGTTGTTATCGTCACAGCCACATTCCTGGTTCTGCTCACAGAGGCATTGCACGGGCAGCGTCTCGTTCTTGTTGTCGTCGGCGTTGTGATAGTAGTACCCGTGAGGATAAGAGTAGGCGTATGCCCCGGCGAGCCAGATACCGGGGAAGAATGCCAGTGCTGCAACTGGCAAGAAGTAAGGCGAAATGCCAGATGAGGTTCTGGCGCCGGCTGTGTAGGGTGATCGGGCGCCACCTGCATAATATCTATTGTTGCCGAATGTCTTAGCTTTGGGGATTTTGTTTGGGGTCTTTGGGGGCTTCTGCTTGGGAGTCTTCGCGCCGGTGGTACTGCTGGACCTCGAGTTCCACATCCAGGGCCACGAAGATCCCCCACTACTGCCGCTCCCACTGGAGCCATAGGTGGTGCCGTGAGAAGGATTGTTGTAATCATACCTGCCGCCGCCGTAGGATGGGGAAACCCCAGAGCCTCCGCTGGATGAGCCGCCTCGGTTGCTGGACGAACTCGAACTGCCACTGCTGCTAGAAGAACTGCCTGAGCGGCCTCCACTGCTTCCACCACTTGAGCTGGAGCTGGAACCGGAACTGGAACTGGAGGAGCCAGAGGAGCCAGAGGAGCCCCCTCCACTCCGTCCGCCGCCACCTCCTCCACCACCGCGTCGCTTTTCGAGATCGACAAAGTCAGAATCCACTGGCGCAGAGTTGGGATCGCGTTCAATGAGGTCGGATTGAGGGGCGAAGGGAATAGATAAAGAGGTCACTCCCTGGGAGCCCAGGAGGAGGACAGTCGTTGCCCATGCCAACTTCATAGTGAGGATGATGTCAGATTCGGATCTGATAAGTGGACAGGTACTTTTGTATTGAGTTGAAGTTTCAGGTTGATCTTGATAAACCCGGGTAAGAAGAGGAAGAGTCTGTGTAAGTAGAAAAGGGGAAAGAGATAGAGGGATTTAAGAAAGAAAGAGAATACGACCAGAAGGCAAAGCCACGAGAAAAACAGGGTCTCCGCGGCTTAAATGGGCGGGAACTAAACCCTCTGGGTAGACGGGCAGAGAGAGCGGAGAGTTCGGGGGCCCGACAGAGGCACCGCCCCAAGGCAAAAGCCCAAGCCCAAGACCCAAAGCGTTGCTTAATGTCCACTTGGGATTGGCACTTGGTGCGAATACGACTGGGAAAGTCTAAGGCTACGAGGCTGAGAGGCGGAGGCTTAGCGAATTAGTTCCAGGGTCTAACAAGACTAAAGAATGACAGCATTTCCAACACTCCAGCATCCGATACGGAGTTATACTCCGGATGGGGACCCTGGACCAGTTAGTGGAACATTTCCTGGCTGTGTAATATTTCATTGGATCAAAATCATGACTCCGCCACCTTTGCTTTCATTTCGATTGCTTTGATGCATTAACACCATGTGGCAGGAAGTACAGAGTACAGTAGTTTCATATGATCAGTGCTCAGTGAAAGATTCTTTGTCCTTTTCTAGAATGCTGAGGTGCAGATATCCTGATGCACATTGCTTGTGGCAGCATCTATCTAATGAGTATTTACCCGGTCGGATATAGTAGTATATCCTATATCTCCAATTCTGGGTATATAGCGCGACAGACATAAAATTAGTAACTGTCATATTGTATAATTTGGATTAACTTACCCATATCCCTTAGAATTCAGGCACAGCCATCGGCCCCATCGGCAATGACGGCATGCCAGGACCCTGCATTATTATTGTTGTTCTGCTGTTCCATAGACTTTCTCGATTTGGAATCTGCTCGCAACCGCCCGCAGAAGATGATCACATTGATCATCATAACCCCCACCAGGTGGCCAACTAATCACTGAATCTTGTATACGAAGTACTAAACTACCAAATCAGATTGGAGATCATCTTCATGTAGGTACAGCACATGATCGCCGTCCTCTGCCTGCCAATTACACTTTTATTTTTACAATAAGATGACATCGAACTATCGAACTATATTCCAGTTCATTGGTATAAACTACGTATATTGCCTCTCGCTTCCAACCGAGGGGTCCCGTTCACACTCAGCCTTGTTGCTGTGGCTCCAGTAAACATGGTACAGTCACTGATTTATGCGAGGCTGAATACGGGAGAAAATGCCAAGAAAGTATCTCGGAGCGGTGAATGGGAGAGTGGGGAGTTAGTAGAACTTAGCACGAGCTAAGCCATCATCATTAACATCCTTTGCTTTCAGATTACCTTTGTGGAATGGCAGTCTTCTAAGTAAATATAGCAGTGACATGCATTCTCGAGTCATTACTGATAATTTGAAAGACTTCATTATTGTAAATATCTAAAAATTGTAAACAATGATAAGGCAATCCTCTAATCTCCCATCAAAGACTCCTTCTTTACCTAGTGATAACACTCCTTGTAGTTAAGTTAGTTCAGTCCCACATGCGATCTCCGCCTGATCCTCGGCGGTTGGCAGCCTTCACTTTCGGGCAGCCAAGCCAACGTCAACGCAGCTTCAACCCAGATACTCGAAGAAAGACACACTCTTTTCTTTTCCCAACGCCCACGCCTTTTTCTTCCAATCCGGCGCCATGGTGCGCCCGAGGGGTCTCTCCAACTCCTCCTCGGTCTCCTCAGTTCCCGACCAGGATCAGGTCTGCTGCATCCCCGTTCTCTCCAGGCCCGCCCCTGGACAAGCTCCCTTTCCCCCGCATTGGCCGTGTTAACTCGGGTTTTTTGCGATAGGAACTGGGGAGTATGTATGATTATCTGGCTAAGGTGATCTTGCTGGGTCCGAGTGGTGCAGGAAAGTAAGTAAACAGTCTTTCCCAGGATCTCCAGGAAAGGAGTTTTCATCAACAGATATATGGAACATGTGCTAACCTTCTTCCTTTCCTCTGTCAGATCCTGTGTCTTACACCGTTTCGTTAAGAATGAATGTACGGATCTCCCTGCCTTATCTGATACTGTCTATATACCCTTCAAGGACCCTTTGTTGACTCTGTTCCTTTTCCAGGGCGAGTACTCTCCTCGCAAACCATCGGCGTCGAATTCTCTTCCCGCATCGTCAAGCTCGGCACAGGCTCTCGTCGCCGGCGCATCAAGCTCCAGCTCTGGGATACAGCTGGCACCGAGCGCTTCCGTTCTGTCTCTCGCTCCTACTACCGCGGCGCCGCCGGCGCAATCCTCGTCTACGATGTTGCCTCCTATGCCTCTTTCGCTGCTCTCCCAACGTTCCTAATGGATGCGCGCGCACTCGCTTCGCCAAATCTGACCGTCTTGCTAGCGGGGAATAAAGCGGATTTGGCAGATTCGACCGCTTCATCCGATTACCACGACGATGCACACCGACCCCCACCAACCCCATCCAGCACCTCGAGTAAACAATCGTCTCTCCCCTTCGATGCGACCGGCTCCGTACGCTCAACGACATACCTAGGCCCGGGGACGAGAATGACCGCCTCATTCGCCGAGGGTCGCGAGGTTAGTAAGGACGATACCGCGCGCTGGGCCGCGCAGTCGAATATCCCCGTTGCAGTGGAGATTTCCGCTCTCACAGGTGAGGGTGTGGAAGAGGTCTTTCAGCGGCTAGCCCGTATTATCTTGACCAAGATTGAGTTGGGAGAAATCGACCCGGATGACCCGCAGAGCGGGATTCAATATGGAGATGGAGGCTTGTACGGTCATGGTGCGAGTGATGCCTCGAGTATTCGGAGTCGAGCTACGCTGGATGAGAATGCTTTATCACTGCATCGGCCCTCGAGGAGACGGGGTCGGCCGAGTTCGGGCTGGAAGGGTGGGATGAGAGAGTGGGAGGATGTGTTCCGACTCGGTGGTTCGACGTCCCGCAGAAATCGCGGGTGCTGTTGAGGAAGAGACGAGTCTTCCTCTCACCTTTTTCTTTTCTTGCTTTGGTCTGAGCTGGATGTGGTTTTTTGGATTCTGGGTTTCTTTTTAATCTGTCTTTCCTTCCGTCATTGCACGATACCCCCTTTCTGACGTTCGTTTTATGAGTTTTACCTTTTTATCTTGGGCAGTTGCTTACTGATGTGCTTTACTTGTGTGGATATTGTTTTTTGAGTGCTCCCCGATGTACATCGTGTGGATGTAGGGACATTTTCGATTCGAGCGTTCTTGGGACATCATTTCTATTGCTTTCTACTGAGTTCCTCGGACTCTTTATGAGCAAGATGCTATTGAGTCATGTCAGACTACTCGAGAGCTAATTTAATTCAGAAGGCTTACGGTACCTCCAATTATTTCGTCTTACTGATTCTCTGAGAAGATGTCTATTGATTTTTTTTGACAGAATGCCAACATGGTCATTGATCAGTCGGAGTGCCTAAGCGTATATAGTACGATTTGTATCCAGCGGCACATTATAATCCAAATCATTCATTAAAAGCCTTTTTTCATTCTGTCGTGAACCACAAAGGGGTCTCACTTCATATAGCATTATAAAGTCATATCATTCTTCTTTCGCACTTGGTATCTTCCCTTACTCATCAATGCCAGCAATGAGCGTCTTAATACCCTTACCAGCCTTAACTTCCTTGAAAGCATGCTCAGCTTCCTCAAACTTGACCGTACCCGTAATCAACTTCTTCACATCCACCTTGCCCGTCGAGACCAGCTCCACAGCCAGCTTGTAATCACCGCTACCATAGCGGAAGCTACCCCGAAGCGTGAGCTCCTTGGAGCACGCCGCCATAATGGGGAACTGGATCTCGCTGCGGCCCATACCACCCTGGACATAGGTACCGCCGTTGCGGAGGACGTGGATACCCGTGTGCACCGAGGGCTCGGCACCGGAGGCATCGATAGCAACGTCCGCACCAGCACCGAGACCGTTCTCCTGGCGCAGGCGCTCGGCGTTCTCGGTGGCGGCAACCTTGGATGGCATGAAGGTTGATGTGGTTGCGTACTCCTTGGCAAATTCCAATCGGGCCTCCTGGATGTCCACCGCGATCACCTTCGAAGCACCAAAGGCTGTCGCCACGGCACAACACAGCAGGCCGACGGGGCCGGCACCGAAGACCACCACGGATTGGCCGGGGGCGACGCGCGCCTGGCGGACGATGTGAACGGCCACACTCAGTGGCTCCATGAGAGCACCCTCCTGCAAGGAGAGAGTCTCGGGCAGCTTGTAGCAGAAGTCCTCGGGGAGGACGTAGTATTTGGCCAGGGTGCCGTCATAGGGCGGGGTCGCGGCGAAGGCCATGTTCTCACAGAGGTTGTACTTGCCAGCCTTGCAGGGCTCGCAGCGTCGGCAGGAGATACCGGGCTCCATGGCGACGCGGTCGCCCACCTTCAGTGTCTTGACGGCGGATCCCACTTGGGTGATCACACCGGCGGACTCGTGGCCCAGCACCATGGGGTCCTTGACGACGAATTGGCCGATGGAACCGTGCTCCCAGTAGTGCACCTGTAGAGAAGGGGGAGAAAGGGTTAGTTTCGAATTTCATGTTTGCATTCTCTCGTCCCCTCATACTTTGATTTGCTTCGCATGCTAGGTAGCATGATGGCATTTCGTGGTACATACATCACTGCCGCAGATTCCGGTGTATTTGACGTTGATGAGGACATCGTGGGGGTTGCGCAGAGCAGGAATGGGGCGGTCTTCGAATTTGACCTTGTGAATGCCCTCAAGGACGAAGGAGAGGTTCTATTTTTTTTCCCTGTTAGTAAAGGGGTGTTGCCTGTGACATTCGTGTCTTCGTGTTGTGGCGGGGTGGAGGGCGGGGCGGATCGCATTTAGCCATTTACCTGAGCGGTCTCGGATGAAGTCATGGTGAATAAAGGATGGGAAGGGGTTGTAAAGAAAGGAGGGATGAATTAGAAGAATGGAGGAGAAGCAGGGGAGGAATTGTGGAAGATATAAGTATGGGATGATCGTAGAAATATTAATTGTATCAAGACCGGCAAAAATGGGAATCAACCGAGCAGGAAGCTCCCCGCAATGTTCACTTTTATTTTATGTTACTTGGAAAATCCCTGTCTAGTCACTCTAGTCATTCTCCTTCCGGTAATCAACTCAGGTCAGAATTCGGGCGACTTTCCCCTAGTGGATCCAATTGGGATTTTAACCGCGGGGCCCTTTACCCGATTTTGCCTTAATAGGCCAGCATAGTTTAGTACTTGACTGATTGTCACTACAGTACGACTAGCGCCACGATATTCCATAAAGATGTCCAGCTGACCAGAGTGATTTTTCCCTCATAAATTTTGTTTTTTTCGGAGTGGACCAAGAAACTGTGTAACTGTACAGTCTACAGGTGTAGGTGGGGAATGGGACTGTACAGTGTACTCCGTACAGAGATCTAGATCATGAGATCACACGTCCGGGTAATATTCCATTGCCATAGAATTGAAGAACTTTGGTTAATCAATATAGATCAAGTCATGTGCTACTGCTAATCGCTGATTCGAGGGGACTAGACCGTTGATCTTGGAATATGTACAGAATATGCCATGCCAACTCCATAATATAACCAACCAATAACCTCGCTAACTGAGCCGACTGGAGATGGTATAATCCATATCCTTCCAATATCATGTAGAGTGACTATCATTAATTCAACTATTATAGTCATAGATGTAAATAATTTCAACAATCAGTTACTGAGTATTAAGTATACAGTAAAGTACCTAGTAGTATGTCCCGGCCGAGAACTGCACTTGCGCACTGCCGCGCCAAGCCCGAAGCATCATCGAACTTCCTCTCTCCGCTTCTTCAATCATTGGAACATTCCATCCCCGAGCGACTCGCTCTTCACACCCATCATGGTCCGCCCACACAGCTCCGTCCTCCGCGGAGCTCTGCGTACCATCCAGTCTCGCCCATCAACAGGCATTTCACAGCAAAGACTCTTCGCTGCTTCTGCCCGATACCGCGCCAACGAGAAGCAACAAGCATCCTTCAAGAGTCAGCTCTATGAGAGTACTCAGCAGCGATTGAAGCGCGAGCGCGCCGAGCAAGAGCGTTATGCTCAGTATCAGACTCAGTCATCTGGCGGTCGCTATGCGGCTATGATGTTCGGTATGCCTACAAAATTCTAAAATTCCCGGGATGGTTCGGTCTAAGACTCGATCAACGTCGCTAACTTGCTTTGTCGCAATTGATAGCTCTGATCTTCTTCTCGTCCGGCGCTTACTACCTCGGATCCCTCAAGCCCGCTGCCCTCCCCAGCTCTTCCACAACCTCCCTTGCAGACCTCGAGCCTCCCCGGCACAATATCTCCCAGTCCAATCTCCAGGCTGCGTGGTCGGACTTTGTCGAGATCCTCGGCAAAGAGAATGTCTCGACTTCCCCCGGTGATCTCGAGACTCATGCCGGCTCCGACTGGTCATCTTATAGCCGCAAGGAGGATGAGAAGCCTTTCCTCGTCCTTTATCCCGCTACTACCGAGGAGGTGTCACGTATCATGAAGGTTTGCCATCAGCGCGTTATCCCCGTTACCCCATACTCGGGCGGTACCAGCTTGGAGGGACACTTTGCATCCACGCGTGGCGGTGTGTGCATTGATTTCCGCCGTATGAATCGCATTTTGGACCTCCATAAGCGCGATCTGGATGTCGTGGTTCAACCTGCTGTGGGCTGGGAGGATTTGAATGAGCAGTTGGCCAAGGATGGCCTGTTCTTCCCCCCGGACCCAGGTCCAGGTGCCATGATCGGTGGAATGGTTGGCACGGGGTGCTCGGGCACTAATGCCTACCGCTACGGCACCATGCGTGAGTGGGTGCTCTCGCTGACCGTCGTTCTGGCCGATGGAACAATTATCAAGACCCGTCAGCGTCCGCGCAAGTCCAGCGCCGGCTATGATTTGAATAAGCTCTTCATTGGCAGCGAGGGTACCCTCGGTCTGATCACCGAGGCCACCTTGAAGTTGACCGTCAAGCCGGCCAGCCAAAACGTTGCCGTCGCAAGTTTCCCCAGCATCCAGAACGCCGCTGAGTGTGTCACCCACGTCGTCGAGGCCGGCATCCCAGTCGCAGGCGTCGAGATCCTCGACGACGTGCAGATGAAATGCATTAATGCCAGTGGATACACCAGCCGCGAGTGGAAAGAGTCTCCTACCATCTTCTTCCGCTTCGCTGGCACCCCGGCCGCTGTCAAGGAGCAGGTTGGTATGGTGCAGAAGATCGCCTCTAAGACCTCTAGCAAGTCCTTTGAATTTGCCCGCGGTGATGAGGAAATGGCCGAGTTGTGGAGCGCCCGCAAAGCCGCGCTGTGGAGTGTCATGGCCATGCGCAGAAACCCCGATGACCACGTCTGGACTACCGATGTCGCTGTCCCCATGAGCAGACTGCCCGATATCATCGATGCCACCAAGGCTGATATGACGAAGAGTGGCCTGTTGGCTGGTATCTGTGGTCACGTTGGTGATGGTAACTTCCACGGTAAGTAGCCTTCATATATCCAAGGCCAGAAACGGTTCCGCATTTTTGGATACCTTTGTTCTAACTCTATCTTAGCCATCATCCTTTTCAGCGACAAGGAGAAGGAAATTGCCGAGGGTGTCGTCCATCGCATGGTCAAGCGGGCTGTCGAGATGGAAGGCACTGTGACTGGCGAGCACGGCGTTGGTCTCGTCAAGCGCGATTATCTTGCCCATGAGCTGGGCGAGTCTACTGTGGACGCGATGCGCCGAGTAAGTCTTAGAGAACGCAGATCCTGTCATTTCTACAATCATCAAACTAACATGGCAAATGTGCTCTAGCTGAAATTGGCCTTTGACCCCCTCCGCCTGCTCAACTGTGACAAGGTTGTTCGTGTTGAGCAGCCCGCACCAGGAGAGGTAAAGGAATGGTAGACGAATAAGTCTACCTTGCCGTTGTAAGCCCCGTATTCAGGGTCTAGACCACCTCAGCAACGGACCTGGAGGCTATCGGTCTACTCCGATCCCGAACCCGAGCGGCGGCGGTGGTGATGGTGTCGGCGACGACGCCGTTCGTCCTCGCTACCACTGCCCGACCCAGAGTCCCGTCGCTCATGGTGAGGTTGGCGCTCGACAACGTCCACATTGCCGCCACCATAGCCCTGACCCTGACCGTAGCTCTCCTCTCGCGACTGGTAGCTCGGCCGCTCAAAGCCTTCTTCGTGCCCTCCGCGCGGTGGTGGTGGTGCACCGTATCCGGACGAGTACTCCCTGTGATATCAATGTAATCAATACCCCATTACCAATATATAAGGAGAAAATAACCCCATAAGAGCCTCTTGAGAAGAGACTTACCGTTCAACACGTCCATCGCCGTAGCCGCTCTGATGCACAGTCTCGTAGGAAGACTGGGGAGCTCCGTAGCCGTAGCGGGTTTCAGTCCGCTCGTACTCGGTTCGTCCAGAGTCGTAGGTCTGGCGACTCTCCTGCTGGTGGTAACCTCCGTTGTCCTGTCGGGATTCCCGGTACTCCTCGCGCCGGTAGCTTTGCACGGGGGGTGGGTTGGGCGGGGAATCGTTGCGATATTCGTCACGACCATAGTCATTGCGAGGGGGAGGAGGACGCTCGCCGTAGGTGTTCGAGCTGCCGTATCCCTGCTGGGGATAGTCGTTACGACTGAAGTCGTTGCGGTCATCCCGGCCGTAGTCGTTGCGAGGAGGGGCTGGACGCTCATTGTATGCCGACTCATTCTGATACTCGTATCCCGACTGACGAGAGGGTGCCTCGTAGCCATAGGACTGGGTCTCTGGCTCGTCACGACGTTCGTGGCGATCTTCGCGACGTTCATGGCGGTCTTCGCGACGTTCATGGCGGTCTTCGCGACGTTCATTATGACGCCGACGGTTCTCTCGCTCATCATCGTCATCGTCATGGCGGTTCTCATATCGCTGGGGCTTGGGGCTGCTTCGGCCTCCAGAGCCACCACCATCTTCAAGGGCAATAGATCCAATGCTGCCTACGAGACCACCAACTAGCCCGCCGAGGGCTCCTCCTCCAACGGCCTCGGCGGCGATCTTGCCCAGTGGGTGATCGCTAGGTTGCTGGTAGCCTCCACTGCTGCTGCCACCACCACTAGACTTGCCATACTTCTTTGGCAGAGCGAGGGGCTTGCCACATCCGTGACCGCAATCCTCAACACCCTCCTTGTGGTTTCGGCCCGCTCGAACACCTTCGCGGCTGAGCTGGTCACGAAGTTCCTCACGCTCCCGTTCGCCCTTGCTCTTCCACCACTGCTCGACAGTGGAGAACATGATTCCACGAATATCGGCCGCACCGTCATCGCCGTATCTGTGCAGGGCAGGATGGTGGAACACTCCAGAGATGATTCGGTTGAGAGTCCGGTCAATGTCAATGTTCTCGTCGTCCCAGCATTGCATCAGCTGGGGCACGGTCCACTTGACCACCTCCGAGGCAATTCGTCCCGCGGGCTCGTTGAGGAGGTTGGAGAAGTGGTCCTTGGAGAGCATCGAGTGGGTGGGGTTCGAGGAGTTGTCGTCATTGAACACAACGTGCTGCTGGTTTCGGCTAGTCTGAATGACTTCCGAAGAGCCCGTCTCCAGCTCCGACTTGGCTTGCTTGATGATGGGCAGGATGTAAGGAGCGATCACGGAGAAGACAAAGACGGTGATCTCATCTTGAACCTGCTCGATCAGCTCGGGGAGCACGGGAATCTTTTCAATGGCCTCGTTAATGCTCTTGAGCAGGTCATCGTGCCACTCGAGGACGGGGTAGATCTGCTTCTGAACGTTGTTTATGTAGCTGGCCCACTCCTCGGGCTGGCGGGGGCTGACGTTCTGGCCGTCATGACGGGCATTGTCTGCCTTGGACTGGAAGTCGTCCATCTTGCCTGCCTGGTCACCACTGCCAATCAGCCCACTTGGGATCTTGCTGAGTAGATCCTGTAGCATGCTCTTCGAGGGGCCCTCGGTTTGAGACTCCGAGATCACGCCCTCTAGGGACTGGAGCTCAGACTGCTTGGTCTTGTCGGAGAATTCTCCCAGCACCGAGTGGAAGAAGTCGACTCCACCGAAAGTGCCAGTCACAATGGGATAGACCTCATCGCGGGCTCCACGAATCTGAACCTTGGTGTTGCGGCCAACATGAGGGAAGACACCCCGCTCGCCGAGCTCGATCAGACTGAGTTCGGTGTAGTTGGAGTGGGCCGCGTAGTCTTCCAGACAGTGCAGACCAGTTCCGAGCAGACGCAGAGCCTCGTGCAGGTCATCGTCATTGCGAGAGCGGGCGTAGCGACGGCCGAGTTGGATGGAGCGACCCAGCACACGGCGGATGAGAGCGGCCGAGGTATCAATGCCGAGGTCTTCGGATGCGATGTAGTTCTTCAGGCCTAGAGAACGGTTGAGAAAAGGTCGTTTGTTAGCTGTATGGCAATACTTGGGAGATGAGAGGGGAAAAGAGATGAACCACGTACCAGTGCGGGTATCAATGGACAGCTCACGCTCTTCATCGACAGGTCCACGAAGACGACGGTCATAGCGACGGGCATCATCACCCTCAGCATAGCCCAATGGGTTATCGATGTGCTCGGTGGGCTGGTAGCATCCCAAACGCTCGGTGGTGACCTCGAACTCGCGAGTGCCATAGCTAACAAGAGAAGATGATTAGTACAGAACCAGGAATTCATGCTATGCTTGTTAAGCTAGCAAAACAACTCACCCAAAGCTCATGAAACCCAGGACCCAAATGAGAATGCGAATGGCCTCAGCACTGACGTGCTTGACGGTGCCCACATCGACAGCCTGACTGTAATCGCGCAGCCAGTTACCGAAATAAACACGCTTGACATCAAGCTTGCTGAACTTGCGTCCACCAGCGACACGGGCCAGGAAAAGACCCAACAGGGCATCCTCAATGTCTCCGTGACGCCAGTTCTGCCCCTCAATCTTGGAGAGGGAGGCGATGTTGCCGGCACCGAAAGCATGAGCCTGACCGGAGATGGCCAGGATGATCAGGAGGGAGAACCCCAAGCTCTGTAGTGACAGGGCCATGGTGGCTGAAAAGGGTGGAGGATTAGAAAGTGTTAGATTCACGAGCGTCAACTACTGTAGAATCAAGCTCTCGGGAGAAACGCAAGGAGGGAAAAGTAGAGTTTGGCACTGAGTTTCGTCGGATGATTCTGGTTGTTTAGGCCCCGCCCACTTTGTTTTTCTTTCCGATGGTGGGGTTGTTTTTTTCGTGATGTGCTGCTGCTTGTCTTGGCTGTTCTTGGCTTGCGTCCATCCTCTTGTTCACCAATGGGCAATGGGCGGCTGGCCCCGATACACCAGGGACTTGGCATCTTGGTTGGCCAGCCAGAGGAAGAAGAAGAGGAGAGCGGATCCATTGTGATGACCATTGATGCTGGACAGGATTGATATGTGTCGCCTGGATCGTATGATTGATTGGATTGTACTGTAGGTACAATGCTGGGGTGGTACTGGTAGTATCCAAGGTTGTGTGGGGTTGCGAATTGGTCAAACCTCCGGGGGGCCGAGGCGGGAAATTCAATTCCCTATGATCATGAATGTATGTATATGAGAATAATAGAAGAGAGATCTGCTGGTTATATGTATAATTATCTAATTCTAATATATTAACTCTTCCATGCTAACAAATTAGTACGAATAGTACTAACTACTAACTAACAGTTCCTCGTTAGTTTAGTCCTCACTAGTGTGCGCCGACCAGTCCAGCCCATCCGCATGCGTCCAGCCTCACAACTTCGACTTTCTCACTTTCTCACCGCTCCAAGTTAGTCTCTCTCCCCAGTTCCCCTAGTCTCAGTCCGATCAAACTGAGAATTTTCCTCCAGCTTCACCTTTTCTTCTTTTCTCTTCTTCACCTACTCCTCCTCCCACCTTCTACAACCTCTCTCTCAACCTCCTCCATAACTTACCCCTCCCCTCCCTCCCCTGCATACATTTCCACGTGGGGGGATCTCTTCTCCGCTCCCCCGAACTCAACTGTACGAGCGGAGGTTGTGCTTATCGGAGATGCGCCCACGCAACCCACGGTCCTCAGCTTCGTGATCTCTTACTTCCTCCACCCCCCGCGCGCTTACGTCCTCCCTCTCTCTCTTCCCCGCTTCATTGCTGGTCTCGCCCTCGTCAAAATTTACCATCCTCTCTTAACCCTCACCTCTCATCGCCACTCTTCACACCGCGCGTCTGCTGTTGCGCCGTTAACCCGCCAACTTCTCCGCCCACCTACTCCACAACCGACCACCACCTCCCCTCCCCTCACACACCCAACAGCCCAGGCATCCACAACAACCATGCGCAGTGCGATTCGCTTTTAAGCGCACCCTGTTCAGAGAAGTTTGCAGGGCGTGTGACCCTCATGGCGCGCTCCGACATGCAGTTTGGCCAGGACCCGGCCTACCCGGCCTCCAAGAGCCGATGGTCCATTGACTCCGGATCGCGCTCGCTTTCCAAGCGTATTTCCCGGAAGGGCTCCAAAGCCTCGAGTATGGAGGACGCGGGAATCCTCAACGCTGGTTTCCTCTCAGCATCGCGAGAGCCACTGCCATTTCCGGAATACTCCGATCCATCTCTATCTTCAGAGCCGAAGGCACATGGCTCCATGCGCTCAATCAAGACGACCCCAGCAAAGACTCCAAGTGGATCGGCCGAGAAATTCGACTCGTCCTTGTTTCTGTCGGGCACCGGTGTGAATGACTTTGCGGACGGCCTCGACCACCGTGCTCACAAGAGCAAGCACATGAAACCAAAGGTGCACATCAAACCAATGCTTCGGAAAATGTCTCGTGACGATGCGACATCTCAATCGATTGACCTCTCCCGCTCATCGACCGAGCAAGAGGGGCTGGGTATCTATCTCTTTGACCGCGAACGCGAACGCCGCCAAAGTGAGTCGCTGACGGGTGCGAACTATCGTCGAGCCTCGTCCGGCCTGCACAACCGGTCGACTAGTGGGGCCTCACAATTTTCGATCACAACAGGGTCGAGTGGAGGCAAGCCGGGGTCGCAGTATGTGTATCCATTGCGCCCAACCCCCCGATCATTCACACCTCCATTGAGTCAGTCCTACCAAACCTCGGTCAATGAGAGTGACGACCCGGTTGAGGAAAGCCCGGAAACCGAAATCCAGGCGAGCCAAGTGCCAGAGCCAGAGCATCACCGAACGACTCGTGCTTCCTCGGTTCCAATGCCACGACTGTCCCTGCAGATTGACGACGACTCGTTCACCCGCCTGCCGGGTATCTCACAGACCAACGTCTCCGGCCGACCATCCTTCGGGTACTCGCGAGATAATGGAAGCACCGTGGACACGGCTTCGCCCATCTCACGACCCTCTCTCGACTTTATGTTCCGCAGTCGAACTCGTACCAGCACTAGCACGGATCCCGCCTCCCGAGCCGCGACCATTCAAGCCGCACGACAGGCTTTTCAGGAGAAAGAGGCCGCCAAGGCGCGCCGGCTCGAGAAGCAACAGTCCAAAGCGGAAGAGAGACAGACCCGGCGCCTGGTGAAGCGTACCTCGCCTGAGGCGCAAAACCCCCCACCTGCGCCGCCTCGGGAAGAAATCTCCGAGAAGAAGGAGAAGAATGGAAGCCCTAAGGGCCCCAAGAGGATCTCGAAGGTGTACGATGACGAGCCGCCTCCCTCATGGAAGTCGCAGTCGAAGAGCACCTGGGTGCTCTTCATGACGTGGCTCCGCACTCGAGTGTTCAAATTCCGCCGGCGCCTCCGCAAGATGGCCTAAGTGGAATTTTTTTTGTGTTTTTATGCCTACCATCTAGCGATCTCGATTTTTGCGACGTCGGCTTTTTTTCTGCAGTTTTCAGGGTGTTCAGGCTGGAGTTTCTGGGGCCACACGACAAGGAGTGTGAGCTAACGGTGTTTGGTGGATTCAAGAGTTATCCATCTACTCTTATTTGCATATTTTTTGAGTTTATTGCAACATTTAAAGGCCATATGGTTGACTCGATAGTGAATATGACAAATTTTCCTATTATTTGTCTTTGCTTTTCACTGTAAACTGCTGAAAGGGCTGAGAACGTGTCTCGAGCCAAACTGTTTGGCTCCATACCACTGCATACCACGGTGGCTTGTCACGTGACAAAATTGCGCAAGTGTCGCATCTGGGCTCCCATCGTCTTTCCCTCTTCGCTACGGCGCACAGCAGCGACAACAACCGCCTGATAAGAGCTGAGCTCCACCATCATTTCTCCGGGTTTCCTTTCCCCCACCAGACGCGCCTCCATTGGGAGGGAGCGTCTCTGCGGTCATGGTCTACGATTGGGCTGGGAAGCGGGACATCTGCTTCCAGATGTACATCCAGGAAAAGAAGGCCCTGGAAGAGATCATGGAGTACATGAAAACTGCTTATCAGTTTGCGCCGAGGTAAGCTTCAACTTCTGGTTCGGTTTCTGCCAAAGTACCTCGCCAGCCATGCAGGACTAACCTTTTGCTGCCTCGATAGTAAGCGCGCCTACCAGACACAGTTCAAGCGATGGGGGTTCCCCTCAAAACAAAATCCTGCACACAAAAACGTCGATCTCGTCGCCCGAGTCAAGGAGCTATGGGAACATAACACGAATCAGCGCGATATGCTCCGCATCTTGAACGATGAGGGATTCGCGATTAAAGAGAGGGAATTGATGCGCGTTCGTGCGAAGAATCGCTGGCTACTTCGCGTCCCCAATGGCATGAAATCACAGCTCAGTGCTGAAACACGAAATACACAGCCAGATGATGCAGGGCTTCTTGCGCTCCAGCAGGAAGTTTACAAACAGGATGAGCCATTTGATACTGCCGACTCGATCCCCGCCGAACCCAATCCTACACCTGATGAGCGCCCTTCATCGCCCGCTCTGGCGCCGGAAGTTGTGGCGAAACGCAAAGAACGTCTGGACCGCCTGAAGTCAGAGAGCGCAGAGCGATGGGCTTCCCGGAAACGACGTCGTCGTACACGTGGGTGGGCTGGGCTGCCTGCAGATCCTCCGGGACCCCCTCGCTTCCCCTCGGAGACCACAATCGATGAGAGCAAGCAGTATCTCAATCTGGACAATACGACATATCGCCAGCTAAGGGACCATTTTCAACGGATCTGTGAAGAAGCCGGGTTCATCAAAAAGACAGTCGCTGGTCCGGAGCGATGGCAGGCCGCAAAGGACAAATTGATACAGGAATCTCCCCATCTACAACAGGTATTTAGCACGGAACCAACCCAACGCGATGCCAAAGCTTTGGCTCTTGATGTTGTGTGTACGGACGTGACCAAACGAATGAGAACATTGGAGCGGCGGATGACTCTCGCCGAGGCCAAAAATGCTTTGGGAGTCAACCCGGAGGAAAGTCGCCAGATCCGTAACGCGTTCTACGATACCCTCAAGGCGGATCATTTCACAAGCAAGCTCGAAGCGGGTGATGAGCATTGGGCAGAGTTGAAGGGACAATGGATTCATAATTCGCCCCTACTTCAACGCATTCTTGAGCCAGGGCCGGCCGACCCTGAGCACGAATACAAGTTGAAAGCCTTGGAAGTGCTCTGTCGGGACGTGATGAAACGGCTACGAGACGACCAAACTAAGCGAGACCCGGCTCGCAAAAGATCCACACCGCGAGCCAGCTCGCAGAATACCGCGCCATCCGGAAATACTCCCGTTCATAATATGCTGGACAACGGGATCAGTAACGGAATCAGTACCCTTGCATCCCAAGCCCTCGCTAGTGCCCCCATCTCCGCCAGCGAGCTTGGTGACATGCAGATCGATCCCTCTCTGCTACAGGCCGCTAACGGCCCATCTTCTTTCTCGGCGAATCCACAACATGAGGCGGGTAGTGCCTTTGAGTACATGGATCCAATGCTTCATTCTACACTACTCAATACGACCGTCTGGTTCCAGAGTAGCCCCCAGAGTCAACTTCAAGGGGCACCAGCTAAGCCCTGGATGGACAAGCTCGCCACTCGATCCATTGAGGAGGTGCGCCAGATCATCACTGGCCGTTATCCTTACTCAATCCTCAGCAAAATCGAGGGCGTTGATAAAGATGAGCATGGAAATGAGATGTTCTTTCCTGTTGACGAAGATCACGAGTTGGAGGCCTACTTGGCACACATCCATGGGAGAAAGGCCTTGTTTGTCTTTACAGTCGGGCAAATTTAAGGCAGACTGACAGAAGTTGCCTTGTATTAATGAAACATTTAGACCCTGGGCTATTCGATAGCTAAAAGATTGCAAAGAGGACTGAGAGTAAGGTGTTGAAATGGGCTTCTGTAACCCTCGAGAGAAATCAAATACTTTGAATGACAAAAGAGCCGGCTGAAATCCGGCCGTACGATTTACAATATGCTTCTCTTGTTCAGTATGAAAGCCTTTTGCTCCTGTATGACATGATGCCACGTCCCATCACATCACCGCAGGTGCTATCTAAGTAGTTCTACTCGTACGGGGTCCCTTTGAGTTATCGATGATCGAGAAACACCACGTGAACACTCCTCGCGGTGCCTGTTGGTCAAGCTAGAGGAGGGCGCAAAAGGTTACCAAATTTATGTTATAGATACAATGGTCCCAGAAAAATCGCTTTAATTCACATGTATATCACATTTAACCCGACCTCAAACTCCACATGGTCCAGAAGGTATTTTTAGCTTGAACCCAGTGTCTGTACAACGTTCCTGAAGAGAACACCGATAGAAGGCAAAGAGAAGGATGGCGTATCACCAAACACAGTAGCCAGTGCCTTATTTTGAGAAACCGGTTGGTCATCCTCAATAGCGGGCTGCGTAGCAGGTCGCTCATGAGCCTGGCTGAAGATGCTCGCAAGGCCGGAATTCAGCTGGCTGGTCGTCACCTGCGGCTGTGTGCTCTTCTGTGATGCCTTTTCCAAGCAGCCAAGACGCTGCACAATGGCATGGGAATCAACGATGATGTAATCGCCGGTGTATGTGTCTGAAAGGAGCGCCAGAGGGCTGCAGCCGAGAGTTTCTTGGAATACTAATTCAAAGGATGGGACATCGTAGATTCGAATGTGGTACCGAGCCTTGCGCCGCTTCTTATTCGGGTTGTTCGAGCTGCCACCACTGCGGACGGCGGTGGCAAGAGTTCCAGTTCGGGCGTTGACCGCAATCAACGGTTGGAAGATCGCATCATTAGAACTGGTGGATTCGGTGAGATCGATGGGCTTGACGACATCGTCAACGGTATCCCAAACAGCCACAGACCCAGAAGAAGCGACAATCAGGTATTTTCCTAGGAACTTCGAGGAGAAGGGCTTGCCAAAGAAGACACCCGTCCGGCGATAGTGCACAGTGCCGTCTCTAGCATCAATCAGAAGCACAAGACCGTCATTTGATCCGGAATGAGGGGGCAAGCAAACAGCAAGGACAGACCCATCTTCGGAGAAGCTGATGCAGGCTGTCTCAAGAGCCCGGGTGGCACCATCGAGCGATGCACTCAAGTCAACCATGCTTCGGCACTTCCAAGTGTCAAGGTTCTGTTTCGATGCATCGTTAGTCAGCCCGCTTCGATGCCGTGCGGTAGGACACCAGAAGCGGATGAAGGCATCGGCTCCAAGCGTGGCAAACTCGTGGGAGCATGGACGAGCCGCTAAGCCGAGGACTGAAGAGTGACGGGAATCACTGAAGTGAGGTCCATCAATGCGCGTCACCAATTCCCAACTATCAGTGGAGGCGTTCCACTTCCAAAACTTGAGGAATACCTCGGGTCGCAATGAAGCCAGGTCGCTCTTCGAAGTGCTGGGAGTCAAAGCTTCTACGTCCTGAGAATTTGGTACCCATGAATCGACGGTAGCCAACCATTTGCCATCTTCCACAATGTCCATCTGGCGGACATCGGGAGCGACAATGGGAGTTCCATCTGGGCCAATGTCCAAGGTTGTTGCGTTGGTCCGTGCGAGGGCCTGGCGAGAGATGTGAGAATTGGTGCGAATGTCAAAGGTCTGTAGAACAGCAGAGCTTGGGCATTGGTGGCCCTGTTGACTGATGTGGTAAGAAGCGGGAACCGTGACCAGCAATCGTTCGGGGTGCTGCGGGTGCAAGGTAGCAACGGCACCGAAAGCTCTCCCTGAAGAAGTGTCCTTGTAGCTTGCGATTTCAGTGCTCAGTTGCAGGCCAGTCACATTGGCGGACGGCTGCAATTCACGAGCAGACAAGACCATGACCGAGTTATCGGCCAGTTTGACCACATATGAGTTTCCGTTAGGCGATACGACAATATTGCAAACAGGTGAGGAAAGGTGAGGGAGGAACTGCTTGCGTCCAGTGTCGAGCTGCCACAGCACCAGGACCGATTCCTGGCCGCCTGAGATAAGATAATTGCCTATTGAAAAATTGTCAGATATACCTCACACTTCAAGCAAGGGCACAGTGGTTAAAGAACAATCTTACCGTCTCTGGACCATCGCACAGAACTGACAGCACCTCGGTGCCAGTGCAACTTCCGAGGTGATGATTTTTTCTCTGCAGAGCGGCCAAATAGGGTGCTGAGAATGTCTTGATAAATCAAGATGTATCCGCCAGTCTCCCCGACTACCAAGTCAATCGCTGGGTCTGAGGATTCCGAACTTTCATCGGAATTTTCGCGCATGTGGAAGCAGGTGGCAGGAGCTGGGAGGGTAGCCTCGCGCCACTTGTATTGAGTCGACTCGGGCGAATCAAGGTCAATCTTTGAAGTAGTACCGAGGAAAAGGTGGGATCCATCGCACGCGACGATAACTCGGCCTCCGCAGGCAACTCTGATGCTGTTGATCGGCTCGCTGGTCACAAGCACAGAGATACCGGCAATCTTCTTCTCACCCAACGAGTTGATCAAGATTTGTCTCTTCCCGTCCTTCTGGGATACGATGGAGTATGATGCGAGTTGGTGCTCCGTCTCGACGACCGCCACATCAACCGCCACGGTGGGAGCATCAGTACCCCAGCGGGCGATCCGCTTTCCAGAATCCCAGTCCCACGTGGTCACAAAGCCAGGAGTAAAGATGTAGAGTATATCGGATTCGATGGGGCACAATTGGAACCCGATCACCTTCTGGCCGGCTTCCATTTGCAGGGTACGGAGGAGGCGAGAGGTAGCGGTTGCAAAGACTTGCACTGAAGTGTCAAGTCCCATGAAGAGATATCTAGAAGATAATATTGTCAGACGCGGGCCTCAGTATGTTTTACCAAAGAAGAGCCGAGTACTTACGCCTCATCTGTAGTCATCACGGGGTCCAGGTTGCTATAGCGGCCACCCACAGGGCGTGAAAATGACCATGGCGCGGAACTCTTTCGCTCTTGCAATTCCTGCGACGGAGCGTTGCCATCAATAGTAGCTTCAGCGCTGCTGGAAGCCTTGGCTTTCTTTGGACTCTGAACATCGATCACATCGGAGGTTCGGCGCCGTTTGGTTCGCTCCTCGCCTGGCCGCGATACTTTCTCTGCGGCATCGCTGGCCCGAGATCGTTTTTGGTGTCGTGCCGACTGATTAGGAGCCATTGTGCAAATCCCTCTAGAGGTGTCAGGTGGATTCGTTTGTTCTGGTGGCAAAGATTAGCTGGACAAATCTAGCTTGTCATGTCCAAAAAGTTTCGTTCCGACAATTCAAGACCCGCCAGACGAAGCTCGAAGAGTCGATCGCATCTTTTTTTTTCTCGGAGCAAAAATTGGGCGGTATCGCATGGCAGAAAAGAAGTCCCGCTGACCGCCGTCGCGGGAAAAGTTTCATCGTTTCGGTCCTTGAACCACTCCGCATCTCACTCGCTTGATCGCTTTGTTCTCAGATCCTCACTCTTCCTTCACAATTACACCATGATCATCCCCGTGCGCTGCTTCTCCTGTGGAAAGGTATGTAGCCAGATTTGATTGGACTTGGTCGGCCCATTGCTGATAACCGTCTAGGTCGTGGGTGACCTTTGGGAGCGCTATCTCGAGCTCCTCGACCAGGGTGTGGCTGATGGGTAGGTGACGCTTCATGATGTTGCGAAAGCCACTATTGTTACGTTTCTCTAATATCTCTCTCAGTGATGCTATGGACCAGCTTGGTTGCCGCCGTTACTGCTGCCGGCGTATGATCATGACCCACGTGGACCTGATCGAGAAGCTCCTTCGGTACGAGGCGACCCTTCGAAGACAACCGACGATCGACTGACGGTTGCAATTTAGGTACAACACGGCCGAGAAAGATCGTGCCAATGCGCAGGCTTAATTATGCCCCGCTCGACTTTCTTTGACGACCCCCTTCCACGATCGACATACTTCAGGCTGGGGGAGTCCAGACGTTTGCAAATATGCACATGTCATGCGCTCGCTCCACCCTGAAAATCCATACTCCTCAAATAATGCGGCTCGTTCCATACAATGGGGTATTCTTGATCGCCGAGGTCAAGCGGGGCGGAATTTCTCGCCAACCCTCGGTCTCCCTGGTGGAAGTTTTCAATGAGACAATGTTGGCATTGCTCGATATTGCTGTATGCATGTTATACGCTGCCTGCAATCATTCAAGTTGGGCTGGACTTGATGATGGAAGGGTTCTTGAGGCGGGCTGCGTTTTTCAACCCCGTCTACTTGCATTTGGGAAGGCGTTACACACAACATCGGATTTTGGCGTCTATGGAGGCCCCTGTACTTTGTAGAAAAATTTACTACTGCTTTGGTCTGCAGCCACCTTACCATGGTGGATTATTTGAAAAAGAAAATATTTCCCTTTCGTTTCTCTTGTCCTCCCCGCGAGAGGTCAGATTTCCCAATCATTCGACCCTATCACGTCTTGAGAGGGAACTCACATCAAAGTACCATTTCTATCTACTGCTTTACCAGAGCTTCCGAGGTCCAGGTGGAGCCATTTGATAACTGCTAACCTGCTAACCTGCTAAGTGCCAATGGCCCCACGGATTCGTTATCATGACTCTCTGCTTTGCTATGTATACATAGCAGCAGCAGTCTGTTGGTTTCCCTCCACCTCACACAATGATCAATTGGCCCCCAACTTGCGTTCTCGTTGGCTCTTGTCGGTAAAATCAGAACAAAGTTTCAATGTCATTCGTGGGGTCCGAGCTGTTGCAAGCGCCCTGCATCCCTATATGGTCTAGCTGGTTGGGCTAAGGGCCCCGCTCCCCGGCGTCTGAGTGGGTACAAAGACCCGAGATGCATGCTCATCACGCCCCAGGCGCCTGGCCCTCTTCCCCCCACGAGGATTTGGGATCTTCGACGGACGAGGAGTTCGGTTTTCCCAGCTTATCCAGCTTGTCCCAGCGACGTATCGTTCACTTCCCTCGAAACTTTCCCGCCGTATCAAAGACCTCGATTGGCACCAACAGCGGCTGACTGGTGTAGTGGAATCCCGAGAGCCTGGAAAGTAATACCGATGAGTTGTCTGGGCGCGGCCTAAGCTCGTTCGAAGTTACTTGCGCGGGGATTCGCATTGGATTGCTCTTGGGTTTTTTTTGGATCCCTTTGATTTCTTTCCCTTCACACACCTTCCTCTGCGGTTCTCAGTCTACAGCTTCGGCCATGATGGCCGTCAGGTCGCCAGTGTCCATCTTGCCATATCGCGATCCCTCCAGCCCCTTTGCAGGACCCGAGTCAATGTAAGACCGAAAGCAAATTCGTGGAGATGGGATTTTTCGTAGTTCTATCATTTCTCATTCGGTCGCTGATACATGTGCAGGTCGGGGGACAGCTCCTCCATCTCAGAGACTACCCGAAACTCGGCCTCCTTTTCTCCAGACCTAATCTCCACAACCACGACGGATACTTTGTCGGCGACCTTGGATCACAAGCTACCAAATGAAACCAAGGCAATTGTCGATAAGATTGGTGGGGAGGCAGTAGCTGCTCAAGCGACGCCGGTACAAAGATCAAGAATGGGGATATCACCTCCACTAGGACTAACCGTATGTATCGGTTCCAGAGCAATAAGCCTGCCGAGGAGATCTACCTTAACTCTCCAACCCGAAAACTTCGAGCCTCATGTTGACCAAGATAGATTCAAACCGCTCAAATGCATCAGAATGGACTCGTTCCGCGATCCGATGAGGACGAACCACCTCAGTCAGTAATCCATGCCCCCGCTGGGTTTAGCGAATTTGTAAGGATATCCCTTCCCCTCTTGTTTTGGTCTGGTGAGGTGAGAAAAAGCCTTCTCTGACCCTCCGCTAGGTCCGGCTGCAGCAATCCTCTGAAGAGTCATGCGAGGATGAGGAATCATCATCCCCAGGCGAATCAGAACATATCCAATCGATAAGTGTGCCAGGAGGGGCAGAAACATCACGGAAGGTGCTGAAGCCCTCGTTCTGAGAGAATTCCCAATTTGTCATTGTACTCGCTAACCAGGACACGTTTGAAAAGATTGGCACGAGCCCCATATCTCCGCCTCCGTTGACGACTAGTGTTGCGCCCGTCCAGGATTGGTCTGATAGAGCGACTCCCCGGGCTCAAACACGGCAAGAATTTGAGGAATCCGGACGACGCACACGTTCAAGCAGCTTAGAAGGTATGTACATGACCCGAGATCTTACATTCTGCATGTTCCTCGCCGTCGCTAACTTTTTTTGGTCTGGAAGATATACCGGAAGGTAGTGAATTCAAATCATACATAGGCATGGCTCCGGACGTGGGAACTGACTTCCCGCCAGGACACTTTGGTGGTAAAGAGGCGGAGATCAATGCTCTCCGAGCAGCTCTCACTGAATGCTGGACCCTGTGCAATACATTGTCCAGCCTCAGTTATATCAATCGAGAAAGACTCTTGAGGTCCCACAATGATGGCATGCAAGAGGACGCCTGGCGATCATGTTGGCGACTATGTCAAAAGCTATACGACACTCGTGACGATGACTATTGGTCGCAAGTGATCCCAACCCTTGACTTGTGTCGAGATTTCTGCCAGGCGTTGTTCGAAGTCCGTGTTTGTGACAGCGACCTTACCGACTCCGTCCTGAGAGTGAGCTTTGAACTTAATAATCATCTCTATAACACGCATGACCGCAACCTCCCCGACGCATTCCGTGAGCGTACATTGGATTTCTACATAACCTTATGCCACCGGCTCATGAAACAGCGGACTCGTCTGACAGAGACGGATTCCCTCCTTAGTGCCTGTTGGGCACTTGCTGAGATGCTGTTCAGTATTCGTCAAAGTAAAAGAGAAGGGAGGGAACTAGACGAGGAGCTGTTGGGCTCTGCAGTCCAGGCCTGCTGGGAGCTGTGCGATATCTTTCGCGAAGGCTGGACTCTGAATAGCTTTCGCAGTTCGGATCGAGGCACACCTCGCCCGAGCCAAGCTACCTTTGCTCAGGCGTTCCAGCAAGTATCGCAGCAATCGGAACTAGAATTTGTCGATGATTCGCTAGAACAAACCCCAAATCCCGAGACACCAACCACGATCTTTGATGACACCGCCACGGTTTCCCCTGATGAAGCACCGGTTCCCAACATATTGGTGCTAGGACATGGCACTGGCCATACAACTTCCCATTCTAAATGGCCTTCCAACGTTTCCAACGTATCCGAGAAGTCTCGATCCTCTGGGCAGACAGCTTCCTCTGCCAACACCGTCACCACCATGTCGGAGGACCCTAATTTTACACGCCTCAAAGTGCTCATCACCAAGGCTGCCATCATGAGTGGCTATCAGCGAGGTGGCACGCAAAATCTGTCCTCGTTTGTGAAATCACTTCCATTGGATGCTTTTGGCTCGGCGCCATGGCAATCCTCGTTACTGAAAAGCTATCGGAAGCTGGTTGCGTTCGATCCTGCATTCCGCAATGTTGGATCCCAGGCTCGTGTCGGCGCTATCGACGTGGCCCACGCATGTCAGGCAATGGCCCAGAATGGACAGTACTCCTGGCTACGTGATCTATACCGGCTCGTTTTTGGCTTCCATCTAGAAGAGGCAATGGGTCGGAAAGGCGTGACTATTCAGACATAATAACGGAGGCCGGCGCGTTGCTCCATCTCCTTTTCATATAATTCTATCTATGTGAATACCTTCAGAGTCACCTATAGTCGAAAAACTTAGCGCTTATTATTGTTGACGCGCCACGTAGCGTTATAGAGACAAGGTTGACTTAAGGTCGCTGGCTAGTAGGCAAGGCTTATAATGGGTTTAGACTATCTTACGTGACGAGCGAGCGGACTGAGAGGTTGAAGGGTCAGTAATGATTGAAGGAGTAATAGCCTTGTGGTAAGGAGACTGTATGTAGGACAGGGTTTCAACTGAGTAAGAACGGGGAAGAGTTTGAAAGGGGAGCTCACCAAGTTGAGCTTGCGTAGGCGTTTAGTCGATATTAGTAGTTTATAACCAGAAGGGTCGAAATTAGTATTATTAATAAGCACGAAAGGCTATATCTAGCTAGATTAGCTAGTATCTTTAATATTAGAAGGGTCTGATTAGTTAGATTAGTCGAATTCGTCTATTTTAGGATTAAGTAGAGGAGTAAGCAGTTAATCTCTAAGGATTTCGTTATAATCGCTTAGAATAGTGTTGTTTTGATTAGAAGCGAGCTAAAAGTAAGGCGAATATAAGGTTTCGGAAGGCTAAGAGGGTATAGCAGGATCTAAATTAGCTATCGTACTAGGGCTTCTCCCCCCTAGATCGTACTATATTATCTGATTATTATTGAAATTAGCTAGAATATCGATATCGTTAAGGATTATTATCGTTTCTTTATTATCGAGAGTAGTAATCGGCTATAATAGATTACTATCTTTATAGATACGAATCTTTTGATTAGGCAATAAGGAATCGTAGAATTCGTCCTTATTGAATTATACGTCTTATACACGAATCACTTAGCGATTAGAGGGTATCCAAATTCGCTAAATATTGTGTGCTTTATAGCCTACTAGATAGCCGATAGCTACGTATAGCGCTAGCTTAGCTAGTCTAGGAAGCTTATTAATACGTACATACGCTTTATATCCGAAGATTCGTATATTCGAAAGGTTAGGTTTAGCTTATAGCTAATATAGTATATTGTCGCCTAGATAGGCTACGAGTGCTTTATAAGGTAATTGCTAGTTAATTAAGCAGTATAGTATACGATTTTGAATATAAATAGCTATTTTAGCTACTTTAGGCTATAGATAGCTTAGTAGGTTTATATTAATTGTTATCTGCCTAGCTATCTTTAATATCAATACACTATATTATTCGGTATAGCTATTTTAGTTAGGCTAATAGGGCAGAGTAGTCTCTAGCTTAATTCCGCGAGCGGTTACTTACTAATTAAAGAAGTCGGATAGGGTCTTTTTGTTATTTAAATACACTGCAAGGACGCTTAAGTTAAATTAGTTTTGTACAAAGTCGATTTAGTTTAAAAGCGATTATATCGAATCGGTTTTCGAAGGAAGGTCTTACGCTAGCTAGTATTTAGTTATAGGATTAACCGAATATAATAGGTAAGAAGTTTTCGTGAGCGATTACTCGAAGTAAATAAGGTCCTAATACAAAAATTCAAATAGTTAATTATATTATATTAGTAATCGAGAGATTTAAAGTAGTAAATTAGCTAGTTTATATACTTCGTAATAGCTAATAGGCAAGGATATATCTTCAATAGTGATATTTAATAAGTGCTATAGTAGTCGTACTATAACGTTGTAGCTAATATAGCCTAATCGTTAGTACTATTAGTTAATAGTTCTATCTAGCGGCTTCTTTATATATAAAGATAGGGCAATCTTATCGAATTAGCTAACAATATTATTATTAAGTGAATCGGAAGTAAGAGATAGCTAAGAGATAGGTAAAGGAAGGATAGGTAAAGGAAGGGAAATATAATTAGCAGAGCGTCTAGTAGTAGATATTTTGTCCTATTTAATTAGATAAATACCTGATTTCGTACTTAATCGGTATATTAGCGTACTATCCTTCTCCTCTAACGTATAATCTTTGCTGTTTAGATAGATTCTAGCGCTTATTACTCTTTCTATAGAGATTAGGTTAATATAGAATCTAGGGTAATATACAACGTACTTTAAGGGAAGACTAGTTCTATTAAGAGATAGTGTTAGTTTAACTATATAAGCTCTCTATATCTAAGGATATTAGTCTTAGTATTTCCTACTATAATAGAGGAAACGACTAGCCTATAATTTAATAGTAGATCTCTGTTATTTGTAATATAGATAGATACTCTAGTATTATAGTACTAGGTGTTATTTTTCTTAGCTAAGATCTAAATCGTGCTTATAGCTTTCCTATTATCGGCTCGGAAGAGGTTATTAGCTTACTATTTCGGGATATAAGTAGAGAAAGTATCCCTATCACGAACAACAGAGATCTACTATCAAACTATAGGCTAGTTATTTCCTCCGTTATAGTAGGAAATATTAAGACTACTATCCTCGGATATAGAGAACTTATCTTAAAGCTAACACAATCTCTTAATAGAACCAGTTTTCCCTTAAAGTACGTCGCGTATTACCCTAGATTCTATATCAACCTGATCTCTGTAGAAAGAGCTATAAGCGCTAGATTCTATCTGAATAGCAAAGACTATACGCTAGAGGAGAAGGATAGTACGCTAATATACTAATTAAATACGAAATCAGGTATTTATTTGATTAAATAGGACAAAATGTCTACTACCGGACACTCTACTAATCACGTCTCCCTTCCTTTACCTATCTCTCAGCTATCTCTCACTTCCGATTTACTTAATAATAATAGTATTGCTAGCTAATTCGATAAGATTACCCTATCTTTATATACAAAGAAGCTGCTGGATAGAACTATTAACTAATAGCCCCGACGATTAGGCTATATCAGCCACAATATTATAGCACGACTACTAGAGCACTTATTAAATATTACTATCAAAGATATATCCTCGCCTATTAGCTATTGCGAAGTATACAAACTAGCTAATTCACTACATTAAATCTCTCGATGACTAATACAATATAATCGACCGTTCGAATCCTTACACTAGGACCTTATCCACTTCAAGCAATCGCTCACGAAAACGTCCTACTTATTATATTCGGTCGATCTAGTGACTAAATACTAGCTAGCACAAGACCTTCCTTCAAAAACCGATTCGATATAATCGCTTTCTAACTAAATCGACTTCGTACGAAACTAATTTAACCTAAGCGTTCTTATAGTGTATTCAGATAACGAAAAGACACTATCCGATATCTTTAATTAGCAAGCAACCGCTCGCGGAATTAAGCTAGAGACTACTCCGCCCTATTAGCCTAACTAAAATAGCTACGCTAAACGATATAGTGCATTAATATCAAAGATAGCTAGGTAGATAACGATTAATACAAACCTACTAAGCTATCTATAGCCTGAAGTAGCTAACCTAGCTGTTTATATTCAAAATCGTATACTACACCGATTAATTAACTAGCAATCGCTATATAAAGCACTCGCAGCCTATCTAGGCGATAATACACTATATTAGCTATAAGCTAAGCCTGACCTTTCGAATATACGAATCTTCGGATATAAAGCGTACGTACGTATTAACAAGCTTCCTAGACTAGCTAAGCTAGCGCTACGCACAGCTATCGGCTACCTAGTAGGCTATAAAGTATACAATATTTAGCGAATTTAGATACCCTCTAATCGCCGAGTGATTCGTGCACAAGACGTGTAATTCAATAAGGACGAATTCTACGATTCCTTACTACCTAATCAGAAGATTTGTATCTATAAAGATAGCAATCTATCGTAGCCGATTACTACACTTAACGATAAAGAAACGATAAGAATCCTTAACGATATCGATATACTAATTGCTTCCCTGCAGTATAATCTAGGGGGTAGAAGCCCTAGTACGACAGCTAATTTAGATCCTACTACACCCTCTTATCCTTCCGAAACCTTATATTTGCCTCACTTTTAGCTCACTTCTAATCAAAACGACACTGTTCTAAGCGATCATAACAAAATCCTTAGAGACTAACCGCTTACTCCTCCACTTAATCTAAAAGCAGACGAATTCAACTAATCTAACTAATCAGACCCTTCTAATACTAAAGATACTAGCTAATCTAGCTAGATACAGCCTTTCGTGCTTATTGATAATACCAATTTCGACCCTTCCGGCTATAAGCCGCTTACTATATTCACTAAACGCCTACGTTCTGATTTAGATACTAGCCGAGACTATAATATTAAGCACCCTTATATCAACCTCACAGCGTTTATACAGGCCTTCCTACTAGACCAAAGCATACAAAAGCAGCCAAAAATTCTGATATCCTCTATTCTATCTGCACTATCCGGCTATAATCAGCTAGCTAGCTACCCTTTCGAGAGCTAATTTCGTTAAGCTATATAGATTGAATTCAATAAGCTTATAGATATACGTATATTCGAACTAATAAGCGTATATCTAGTCACACACGCACACTAGACGAATTACAAAGGAATTAACTAATCAGATTGCCTACACCACTAATTTATCCTAATACGATAGGTATTCGCTTATAAATCAGACGAATTAGGCTATCTCACACGCTTTAAAGCCCGCTTATGTATACATAGAGACATATAAGTTCCTAACGACTAAGACGCTCGCACTAGTATACTTACAGCTAGAACGTTTCGTACGCTTATCGCGATTATTATACGATTTGACCTTAAAACCTTCTAGATAGATACTATCAACGCCTTCCTAAATAGCTCGCTAAAGGAAGAAGTTTACTGCCGATATCCCCCGGGATTAGGCAGGAAATCGATAGTTTTACGCTTACACAAAGCAGTATATAGCTTACGAATCGCTAGTAAGCGATAGGAAGATAATATTAAAGAGATACTACTCTTACTTAGATTCAAACCTTACCCTAATAACCCTGCCCTTTATACCGATAATCGTATAATTATTATAGTATTCGTCGACGATTTCCTTGCTGCCTATCACAAAAGTGAGAGTTTATACGCTTAGTAAATCAAAAGACTACTCTTAGAAC